AGCTGCCTGTAGAAGATAATGCCACCATGTGGCCAAAATGGAAACTGTCTGAAGTAAACTGGTTCTACTCATGCCTCTCAGAGGATCATGCATGTAGGCTCCTATGTTAAAGGGGACAATACTATCTTCTGCAAGAAAGATGCCTTCTTGTCCCCTCTTCACAATCCTTTTTGTATTAATATATTAAACCAACTTCTACTCGCCCCTCAGAACACAGCTCAAAAGTATCTCATCCTCAGTGAAGTCTTCACTGACTCCCGAGGAAATAAGCAGCTAGGTTCACAATGCTTCCAGTATGCCTCTCCTCAAACATTTTATCCCCATATCTATGCTTCAGCACCTAGAATTTTATATTAGTCATTTACCCCACACTGAGAGTATCTATCATGTACTAGGCACTGGACTAGAGTAAGTTATCTCAGTCAGAATATGTTTGTTGAATGAATAAATAAATGAAAAAACTACAAATGATATCCTATCCATATCATCAGGAACACCTCTTCTGCTGCTTTTTTAAAATTCCATTTGTGATCTTAAAAAGTAACGCAGGGTGGAGGATAGCATACTTGTACTACGGAAACCAAAAACTGTAAAAATCATGGAACCAACATACCTACCCTCTAATGACAACAAGTTTACCCAAAGATGGGGTGAGGGTGACAGCCCCTCATCTCATTCTAAATGTGTAACCCCCAATAAACAATGGATTATCACATTTTTTAAAAAAGTTAGAAATGTGTCTAGAATACGTACATTCTGAGAGACTCTTCAATCTCCACAATTATCTTTTGTCTCAAATATCATCATTTTGGATCCTTCTTTCTCTTGTATTTAACTATAAGTATAGGGGCTGGGTGTGGTGGCTGTAATCCCACTACTTTGGGAGGCCGAGGTGGGTGGATCACAAGGTCAGATCAAGACCATCCTAGCCAACAGGGTGAAATCCCATCTCTACTAAAAATAAAAAACAATTAGCCGGGCGTTGTGGTATGCAACTGTAGTCCCAGCTACTCAGGAGGCTGAGACAGGAGAATCGCAGGAACCCAGGAGTCAGAGGTTGCAATGAGCCAAGATTATGCCACTGTACTCCAGCCTGTGTGACACTGCAAGACTCCGTAAAAACAAAACAAAACAAAACAAAAAAACTAAGTATAGGAACTTCCTGCCATTTACTTACTCCAAACACACACAATTTTCCCACAAAATACACACTATTTTGTGGGTTACATTTTTGTGGATTAACTTGTAAATCTCTATGATTTGAAAAATATATTTCAAGTCCAAGTGACAAAAGCCATAAATAAACAATGCTGCAAAACCTATTTTTCTTTGGGGAACTTCAGGTAAAGTCAGTGGATTACATTTTTGCCACTTGCAGGTATCAAATGACCTTCTAGTCCCAGAATTGACACTGGCCAAAAGTCTCCATGTTCAACTGGGGCAGTAGCTAAAGAGACTTATCTAAGGTTATAAGGATTCTGGAAACAAGACTGCACCTAGAGAGCTGATCATGACCATATCTGGTGTGAAAAAGAAAAACACACATACAAATAAATCCATAGGGATTGATTCAATCATTTTCTTGGAATCTCCAAAGACCATGAGCCTGAGGCAAAGGATGAATGAGTGAATCACTAGATTCTCAATAGATTTAAGAGAATGAAGGTTAGCACCAAAATGCATCCCATGGATCTCAAGTAAATCATGTTTAATGCACAGGATTACTCACTATTCAAAATCAGTCCTGCATAAAACAAGAGATACAATCATATTATTACTAGTGATTTTTTCTTTATTATACTGAGATCGAGTCCCAGATATGAATTTGGTTCCCATTCATGAAGTTTTAAAATCTCTAAACACTGGAAGAAATGTGAGGTTTTTTAAAATTGATGATTACAAAATAAAGTGATACAAGATGACTTTGGTACAGGAAATCTCAGCCATCCAATGAATGAGTCATTCTGCACAGCCTAGTTTTCTGAATTGGTAAGAGCTTTACACATCAAAACAGCTCTGGAGGTTAATTATTCTGGGTGTAAATATTTCCGAAGTATATTGAACATTTCCTTCTCTTCTTAAAAAGTGTATCTAAAAACGTATTCTTTCTATAGTTCTCTGTCAATAACAATAAATAGCAATTATCGGTTTATATTATTATAGAGTGGTGCCTGCAAGGTCAATGGAGGATTCCTACCCAAATGTTCCCAAGCCTTCAAGGTTTCTGTCCCAATTCTTGTCTAAAGTTACAGTTTTTCTGTCTCTTTCCTAGTTGTCCAGCTGTCGGAGTCACTTTTCACTACTGATTACAGCAGTCCCTCACCTCATTCTAAATGTGTTACCCCCAATACACTATGGATTATTGGTCAAAATTTGTTTTTCTTTCTTTCTTTTCTTTTTTTTTTTTTTTTTTTTTTTTTTCTGAGATGGAGTTTCGCTCTTGTTACCCGGGCTGGAGTGCAATGGCACGATCTCAGCTCACCACAACCTCCGCCTCCTGGGTTCAGGCAATTCTCCTGCCTCAGCCTCCTGAGTAGCTGGGATTACAGGCACGTGCCACCATGCCCAGCTAATTTTCTGTACTTTTAGTAGAGACGGGGTTTTCACCATGTTGACCAGGATGGTCTCGATCTCTTGACCTCGTGATCCACCCGCCTCGGCCTCCCAAAGTGCTGGGATTACAGGCGTGAGCCACCGCGCCTGGCCCTACTTGTCAAATTTTTACAAAAATGTTAGGATTGTGTCTAGAATAAGAGTAAGTACATTCGGAGAGAGGGCCTGTATATTCTCTTGGACTTTTATGCTATTTACTCTGATTGTGAAGTGGACATTTTGCCCACGTCCTGGTTCCTGGCTAGTTTTGGGATATGCAGAGCACAACACAGACTCAGGTATGCTGCAGCAACTCCTGATGCTCTTTATGATTCCCACAGTCCCAAAGTAAACCAAATCATCACATGACCTCCTAAGAAATTTCTGTCCCCGGCCACACAACAAAACAAGTGCAAAGATTTCCATGCAGGCAAAATGTCTAGGTTGAAGGATTAGTTCAGAAACTGGAGAATGATCCCTATATTACGTAATGGCTCTATACGTTGTATATCACATCATTTAGCAACATGAACAGGTGAGTCTCTTACACAAATAAGTATGGCCAAAGATTTCTTAAGGGAAAAGATTACCAAAGGACTTCAAAAAACTCACAGTTAAATTTTTTAAATTATGAGATTTTAAAAAATTAGGCCATTTCATTTTAACATCTAACTGTTTTACTTACTAACCTGGTGGCTGCTATCCTGGGAAAAGTCATCTCCATTACTCAAAGGGAAAAAGTGCTGCTCCAACATTTGAATAACCTGAAGATGAGTTTGAACACTCCCTACCAGCACTGAAATCAAGCATTCAACCTAAATGACTATACGTAAATCCTCCACATTCTATAAAACGCAAAATTTACATAACCCTGTTTGTCAAACCTGAGAACGTAAAACCAAGCGGGTAAACCAGGCTTCCCGCTGAAATTAAGGATTGAAGCAAAGAGAGTGGATCATCAGTTACCCTAGCTATGTTTCCACATCCCAGTGAAGGAGGCTGGCCCTCCAGCTATTTATAAACGTGTAGCTCAACCAAAGGGGGCCCTGTCATCGCCACCCCGGTGAGTCCGGGTGTGAGCTGGGAGGCTCGGGCTGAATGGAATCTCCCTTAGTGTGGCCCTCCATACTTGGCAATGCAGGATCTTTCGGGTGCAGTCCTGTCTGGTCAGGAAAAGAACTGTGAGGATTTCCAGCGGTCACTTCCACCCTATGATTCTATATATGGAAGCATCCCATTCTAGTGTTTTCACCATCGTGCACACCATACTAGGGAGGAGGAATGAGGAGGCCGGCTTGCTTCTTGCTGCTCTGAAGGCACACTCACTTTAGTGTCTCCCGGGCTCCACTGCCCTGGACTGGACCTTGTCATCAAACAGCAACCCAGACCTCTGCTGAGCCTTGCAGGCTCGCAGCTCCAACATGGAACAGCTGGAAGAGGGCCCTGCATTCTTTTCTCTGCATAAACACTGGGGGCTCTGTTCACCCTCCTGCAGCAGCATGAACTAAGGAATTTCCCCCTATCCAAAATCACAACCATCAGACTTTTCCCCCATCCCCCAGCCTCCTCCTACCCTCCAGGATATAATTTCAGTCTGTCACCACCCACGCCAGCAAATAGGAAGCTGCTGGACCTTTCGACTATATTCACTTTCCATACTAGATGAAGTGTCCGTAAATACTAGCAGGGTAATATGAAACGATTCTGTTCTATTCAGTAAAGTTTCCTAACGAAAAGCATTAAGGAACCCAATTCATGCCTGTCCTTTCTCCAAGACCCTTTCTCCAAGATCTGTATCAATATGGATAACGTCACAAGTGGTAAGTGTAACCCCGTAATATACACATTGCAAATGTCATTTTACTAGTCTATAGCGTCACCTACATATTATTCTGAAGACGAAGCTCTAAAACCAGAATATCCATGGGGGAAAACGAATAATAAAATTGAATTTTCATGTACTCCTCACACAACCATATCCAAGCTTGGCTTCTGAAGGGCAGTCCTGGACGTCTATCATGTGTTGCTGAAATCCAGCGAGCCACGTTGCCCAAAAGAAGGAGGAAGGAGAAAAAAAAACCACACACGCACACCCAGAAAATCCAGACTCTACGTGACCTGACTTACTTATTTCCCAGGAAACTGCATGAGAGAGAAAAATCAATCATTCATGCTACCGTAGCTACCACGCGGGAAGGGGCTGACGGAGTTCACAGCGGGCAAAACCCCCAAGCGGTCGGCGGAGGTAAGCGGGTGGCGGGGGGGCTGGGATGGGGTGGGTGCCGAGGACCTCCCGGGGCCGCGCCGTCCCGTTCCCGGCGGAGCGGCTGGCGGGGGCGGGCCCCGGCCTGGCCCGAGGCGGGGAAGCTGGGGAGAGGGCGGGACGGCGGCTGCGGCCGCGCACTTACCCGGGCTGTTGGCCTCGCGTTCGAGGATGTGCAGCTCGGCGCAGTCGGCCAGCGAGTGCTCCAGGCAGAGCTGGAGGAAGCGGGCCTGGGTCTGGCTCACGCGCTTGAGCAGCGACAGCAGCGCAACAGTCTGCTCGCACTCGTTCCAGCCCTTAAACCAGCCCGCCAGCACCCCGACCTGGTCGCGAAACATCATGGTTAGGGGGCCGCCCTCGGTCTACAGAGCTCCCTGGGTGCCCCAGTCTGCCCCGCTCGCCCCAAAGTTTGGCGGAGCCGCAGCCCCGCGGCCGGAGACGCGTTCCCGTTCCAAGGTGGCTCTGGTGCCCGGACGCTGCAGGTACTGCCTGGGCTCCTGCCTTGCTCGTCTGGTTACAGTTACGTTCCGGTGGTTCTGACTGATTTCCCCAGAGACGATGACAAGTAGCACGGAAATGTGTCTTTAAAAAAAAAAAATAACGACTTAAAAAAAATCCCCCACAAGGCACACAACTGAATGAAGAATGCTCTCTTTCTCTCCGCTTCTTGCAGCTTTGGGATGATTTCCGGCGTCCTGGGGTCTCCTCCCCGCTGGGCGGCAGCTCAGACCCTTCACGCCTGCATTCCCGAGCAGCGATCACCACTGGAAGGAGAGAAAGAGCTGCAGTGAGACCTCGACCAGCGGAGGAGCGCGTCCTGGGGGACTAGGGCATCAGAGAGGGCCGGGGCCGGGGGTGGAGGCGTCCCTTGGAAGGCTGGGTTCCCCCGAAATCCGGCTGCCCCCTCTGCACCCGGATGCGGGAGATGGGCTATTCCCGGCCCGGGGATAGCGAGAAGCCTGCTTCCCAGGTGCAGAAGGAGACCCCGCGGCTTCCTGTTGCTGCTGCTGCCAACGGCTGGTGCTCCCCGCAAGCCCCGCCCGGGGTGGCCTCGGGCGCCGTGCCTGCGAACGCCAGCACCAGCAACAGATCTTCCCCGCGCAGAAAACTTGCAATGCGGCTGCGAAGGGGCGCGGGGGTGGGGGTGGAAGCTAATGCAAAGCAGAGGCGGAGGCAGCGGCAGCCCGAGTTCCTTCCTCCTCCTCTTACTCCTCCTTCTCCTCCTTCTCCTCCTCCTCCTCCTCCTCCTCCTCCTCCTCCTCCTCCTCCTCCTCCTCCCAGAGAAGCAGCCTAGCGGCTGCAGCTCCATCTACAGCAACAGCCAGCATCTCCACTGCCAGGCGCCCCTCTGGATTTAGGCCGTGAGCAGCCGCGGCAGCAGCTAGAGACAAAAATAAACTCTCCCCACCCAAAGCTCCGCGCCCAGCGGGCGGCGGCGCAACCCAGAGCCCTGGCTCCCTCGCGCCGCACAGCGCCAGCCCACCCGAGAGGTCTCCCAGGGCCTGCTCCGGCAGGAGCGGTCACTGTGCGCGCGCGTGTGCGTGTGTGTGTGTGTGTGTGTGTGCGCGCGTGTGTAGCAGGCATCCTGCCGCCGCCGCCTACGGGCTGGTCTGTCCGGCCCGGCGCCTCGCCCGCGCGTCGCAGGCCGAAGCAGCACAGCCAGGGGCACACACAGCGCGCGGGGACGGCTGGGGTCCCCCGCGCGGCTCCCTTCGGCGGGCTGGGCGGCCCCGCGGGGAACGCGGATCGGCGCCGCCGGCACACGCCCCCCAACGACAGCAAAGAAGAAAGTTCGTCTTCGGGGGTTCCCCCAGTCCTATCCCGGTTCTGGTGGCCACCACAGGCGGGGAAGAGAGCCCAGCGGCTCAGCTTTCCAGGGGCGGCTCGCTTCCAACACGCTGCTTCCCCGCTCCCAGAACTTCTGGGGCGGAGGGGGAAGCCCCCGGGGAGGGGGACCCCAGTGACCGGCGGGTTCCCGGCCGAGGGTCCTAGGGAGGGAGCGCTCACCTAGGCGCGGCTCATCCCGGCGGCTCGGGGGCCGTTGCGCGAGTCCGGGGCCGCAGCGGCTCTCAGCGGGGTTGGGGGCGCCCGGAGCGCGGGCCGCGGGCCATGCCGTCGGGGCTGGAGGCGCGGAGAGAGTGCGGCGCTTGCAGTCGGGGCCGTGGCAGCCGCCTTTGCTGCTGCCTCCAGTGTCGGCTCGCGGAGGACTGAGCCGCCCGAGCCGGAGCTCCCCACATGCTACTGATTAACATACACCATTACATCATGGGCTTGGCAGGGAGCGCCCGAGCGGGGGGAGAGGAACCCGGGCGGCGGCGATGGCTCGAGGGGGGAGCCGGGGGGAGGATCCCGGGACCCGGCGCGGGGCGGGGGAACAGATTCCTAAGTGGGGACCCGAAAAAGGGGAGGGGAGCGGAGTGGGAGGAGCCGGTGGCGCAGAGGGTCGGGTTGAAGGAACCTCGGAGAGGAGCGAAGAAGTTCTGGGAAGAGGACGGGTCCGGGTGAATTTCTTCCCGCGGCCGCCTGTGTGTTCTGGAGGGGTCGGGGCACTCAAGCCACCCAAGCCAGGGCAAAAGGGATCCGAGGGCGCTCGGGCGGGGGCGGTGCTGCCACCCGCTGCTCTTTCTTGGGAATGTGGTTCCTCAGCTCGGGTGACCCTCGGCTCTTCTGGGGTTCCGGGGTGTCGGAGCAGTGTGGCCCGCGGGCGGTGGAGACCCGAGGTCCCTGCAGCAGACGCTGGGATGGGTTCTGGTGGTAGTGAAGGCAAAGGGCCGAAGAGGCTGAGGGGCAGTGCGCTGGGTTGGACGTGCCCAGGCGCTGGGCTCCGTGCCGCCCTAGTCCAAGGGTCTGGCCCGGGTCGGGTGCCGGATGCCCTTTGCTCTGGCACAAGGTCCTGAAGGCCAGCCCGGCGTCCGGCTGCGTCCCGTTCTAACCCCGGGGAAGCAGCCCAACTCCTGAGACCGGTCCGGGGAGCTGTGCCTGGCGCGCGGGCTGCGGTTTCGGGCCTGGAGCGGAGGCGAGCGCCGCCCTTGGAGACAAGGAGGTGGGGCGAGGCCACCTGTCGCCGCTCGGGTGTCGCCAGGCCCCGCAATATTCACCTGGATCTGGAGAGTAAGCAGGGCCACCACCACACGGGGCTTCAGGTCCTCGCCGCGCCAGAGGCCAGAGGGGCACCGCGCGGAGGCTGAGCTGTGCGGGTTGGGCTGCGAAAGTGCGTCTGCTAGTCTTGAAAGTAAAGGTTTGGTTGAAAATACCCTAAAACCTAAAAACCTCTGTACCTCTTGATATGAGTTGAATATTCGCAAGGAAGACTTGATGACTACATCTGGGCTAGCTCCGTGATTTCAGAGGAAACACTGCGCCCTCCGGAAACTTGAGGCTTTGTTTATACAGGAGTAATTCAGAGAAGGCAGTGAAACGCTTGCTTCAGACCCAGCCTTCCGTAGTCCTGCTAATCCACTGTTTTGAAGAGAAATTATCTGAGATAGTATTCCAGTAATGAACACTTTTGTTTTCCAATTCCAACATAAGTCCCTGGAATTTCAAAGCTTTCTTCCCTTCCTCCTCAAATTTAGTTTCTGCAACGTACAGGTCGTTTCAGACACGTGACAGCACCTAACGATCTGTTAGGGTTTTTGAAAGGTCTTGTCGAGCTGCAACAATGTGGATTTTTTTAAAAGTTCATTATTAACCGGACAGGTAAGGTATCCGCATAATTTAATGAATATTTCGCCCTATTTAGAAAACAAGAATTCTGGAGTCAGTGTTTAATTTTTTGTTTTGTTTTGTTACTGTAGACGCCGAAAGGCTTGATAGATTTTCTCCAAGGATTACCATCAATTAGCTAATTTTTAGTAATAACATATCAGGAAAAAGGGAGGATTAGAGAGTATGGTCTACTTCGGTGTATATCTTACTATAAATTGTAGGCAAAGCAGATGTTCTTCTAAAGCTTTTGAAAGCTCCCAAGAGTGAATTTTTTAAAAGAAAGTGAAAGAAACAGAAATTTCATTAACTTATGTATTGTCACCTGCAGCTTACTAAAGGTATAGTAAAACTAAAAATAAAATAAACCAAAAAAAAAAAAAAAAAAAGAAAAAAAAGAAAAGAAAAAGAAAAAAAAACCCCACTTGGGCTGGTGAATGAAAATACTGTCATCTACTGGAAGAGTGTAGTTATTACAACAGCCTTTGACCTAGGAAAAGACATTGACGTTATCTAATTTTGAATTTTATTGTTCAGGACCCTCTAAAGACATGTAAAGTTGAGCATGCCACGAGCTGTCAATATTCTTGTATTTGTGTGTTAACAATTCCTTTCCTCTGGGCAAAGAAGAGGGCGTATGAATGAAACCCAGGGGAAATATGGCCTCACTCTTCCCCAAAGTGAAGTCATCATTCTAAAGGAAAAAACAAACAAATGAACAAAAAAACAGCATTCACCAAACATAAGGTATTGTATTAAGTGTGGATTTTTCCTATGTGAACCAAGACCTAGTATTATTGATAAATAAGAAGTGCCTAACAAGTACTATTGACATCACTTGAAAAATGAATGAAAATATCCTGATACGACTATATCCATGTTCACTATATTTCTATTTGTTCATTTGAAAAATACTTATTGTGTCACTTTGTGCCAGGCACTGGGTTAGTCAATAAGTACCCTGAATATTCTGAGTACCAAGTACAGGCACTGAGTACATAATGGTGTACTAACCAAGAGATATTTTATATAAATAAAACACAGATAAGATTATGAAATGAATTCACATTCTCAACATTATTTTGCTTTTCTCCTCCTTGGAATCTGGAAAGGGAAGAAATTGTTTTCTGAGTGAATAATACTTTTGATCAAATAATTCAAATGTTTAGATGTTCCAAAGATTACCAATTCTAGATAAATCACTGACATATTTATAAATCACTGCTTAAGAGGATGTCCGGGTATTGTTTGTATCAGTAAGAAACCCCAGGGGGCAGCAGTGGCTCATGTCAGTTGTCCTGGTGCTGGGGGAGACAAGGCTACACGTTCCAGGCCAGTCTGGGCAACATAAGCACCTCTTATTCATTAAAAAAAAAAAAAAAAAAAAAGGAAGAAAATCCCCCCAAAAAAGAAACCCCAAAGATTTCATGTGTATTTTTAATTTATATTTCTTCTAGAATAATTTAAAACAAAGAAATGCATTAGATATAAAAGCACTAGAGCTGTTATCTTTAATTATTTGCTTTATAAATTAAAAAAAGCATTAAAATCTCTGCATAAACATAAGTGATAATGGATAATTGCTATTCATTTAATCATTTGATAAATATATATCGAACACCTGTTCTGTGCCACGTCCTCAAGATAAAATGTTAAGACATATGATACCTTTTATCTAACACAAAAGTTCATAGAACAAACATATATGATTATATTATATATCAAGAAAATATATAAATAAAATTTCATATATTCATTACACATTTTTAAATGCATATATATGCCATAGGAAAACGTGTGAAAACATTTACACCAAAATGATGACTAATGCTGACCTTCTCTGCATGGTAGGATTTCTGAGGATTGTTGTCTTGTTTCTCTATATTTATTTTCTGGCTTCTCTACTATGAGTAAGAAAACTAAAACAAAACAAAACACTACATGAGTTCAGGACTACTGACTAAAACAACTTTAGAAGTGTCCTAAAGAGGCCAGGCGCAGTGGCTCACGCCTGTAATCCCAGCACTTTGGGAGGCCAAAGCGGGTGGATCACGAGGTCAAGAGATCGAGACCATCCTGGTCAACATGGTGAAACCCCGTCTCTACTAAAAATACCAAAAATTAGCTGGGCATGGTGGCTCGTGCCTGTAATCCCAGCTACTCAGGAGGCTGAGGCAGGAGAATTGCCTGAACCCAGGAGGCGGAGGTTGTGGTGAGCCGAGATCGCGCCATGGCACTCCAGCCTGGGTAACAAGAGCAAAACTTCATCTCAAAAAAAAAAAAAAAAAAAAAAAAAAGAAGTGATCTAAGGAAACTCTACTGTAAAACTTAGGTCTGTAACTCCCAAGTATTGTTAAGTATTGTTTGAACCTGTACTGCTTCCTACCTAGGACTTGTCCTAGACTCACCGGGTCTCTCTTCCTCAGTTCTGACCTTTCCACTCTCTAGCTCAGACATTTTCTGTGATTTCTGAATAGACACTGAATACATTCCAGGCTATTTGGTCTGGCATATAAAGATTCCAGGATTTGGCCACTATCTGCCCTACTGCACCTCTCTTCTGCATTTCATTCACAGAAAGTATTTGTTGAGTATAAACCACCCTGCTAGGCAATTCGAAGATACAAAGGTAGAAGAAGAACCATGCTCTCTTCAACCTCCAGTGGGCAGCATAAAGTATGTTCTTGGCATGTGTGTGCACACACACATCCACACTTCACAAAAAAAGTACAGTGTGAAGTGGGTCTGAGAGGGGGCAACACACAGTATTAAGAGAAACAAGAAGAGCCAGCAATTCTGCTAGAAAATTAAGGAAGACATTGTGGATCTGTTGCCTTTTGTGATGGTGTTCATTGGATAAATACTTTCAACAGAGATAGGCAAAATTTTAAATATTTATAACCAGGGGGACATAGATATCCTAAGAATTGCATAACAAGTACTAAATATTCACATCGCTTGAAATACGAATGAAAATATCCTGTCATTAAAAGAGATATTACTGTGTCTATGTTCACTATATTTCTGTTTATTCCTTTGAAATATACTGATTGTGTCACTTTGTGCCAGGCACTGGGTTAGGCAATAAGTACCCTGAGTATTCCGAATACCAAGTATAGGAACTTAGTACTCAGTGCCTATACCTATGGGGACCAGGATATCTAGATATTATTTGTATCAAGAAAGCATCCTGAGGACGCCACGTTTGTGTATTTTAAGTTCATATTTCTTCTAGTAGTAATAACACAAGGAAAGGAAATGCAGGTTTTCCCAGACTTTGGTGTATGCTAGTGGAAAGTGATCCTCTAGCATTGGCATCTACTAAATGAGCTATTCTGTATCCTTTTCCAGATGACCTGAGAATGAAATTTTTAGGACTCTACCCCACTGAAGTCAAAGCACCATTGCTATAAGATAACTTATACTAAAGTATGAAGACAAAAATGTTAATTTTAGCAATTTGTAATAGCAAAATTCTAGAATACCTATCTGCAGGGCAATGAGCAAATAAAGAAACCACCATACTATGAATTTTATGCA